ATGTTGGTGAGTTTAGGTTTATTCGAATCGTACTAGTCTGCTATTTATATACATGTATAATATTATATAAGTACGTATTATGTAATATCCTGTTCAGGAGCGTATTCTAAAGTTCATTTAAGACAAAATAATAAATATATTATTTCTTTTTGACCTATTTTGGTTAGAGCTATTTTTTTCAATTTAATTGTTTGTATTTTGTATTAAATGTTTTCTGAGATTATAATAGGTCATACACTCATACGGAAGTCAGGTAGAAGTTTTTTATTACAGAAGAATGGTGTAAATTTGAGGAAGAAGCATAATAAAAATTTAATTAGATTTTATTTAAGTTCGATAAATTTAATATAGAAAAAATACAATTTTGATACATATTCTATAAATAGTAGACACGTAAAATAGATAAGAAATATTATAAATATTGTTTTTCTTCAGAATTTTTTAAAAGTCTTAGATAATTATGTTATAGTAAAATCTCTCAAATTTCAATATTAGTAAACTATCTATCTATTATACATAAAGGTTTTAAAAGATAATTTCGTCTTATACGTGGTTATAATGGCAACCAACACCAAAGTTATTTTGTAAATTTTAAGATGGGTAAAAGAAGGCTGCTACATATACTATAAAAGATTTAAGTTACTATTAAAAGAGAAATATTAAAAAAAAAAATAAATAAATAAAATAACGTAATGAAAACGCAAAAAGTATTACAAGATATCAAAGAAAACAATACTAACAATATTAGAGAAAAAACAAATATATGAGTCTAAATATTTAAATATCGATGACACAAGAGAAAAATATCAATACTGTAATGCTTCGACTTTTAAAAACTAAAAGGGGAGGTTTGCAAAAACCTCCTGTAGCCACAGAAAAGTTAAACTCCATGATGCGTAACAATTTTAATTCAAATTTGAAGATAAACCATTAATAATTATGTTTTATTGTTATATATTTTTATTTTAAAATAAATGTACTTACGTAAATGTAATAATTTAAATAAGAAAAAAAATATCTCATAAAATATTTTCGTTAAATGTTTTGCATTCACTCTTGGTTTTAGAATATTTAAATATTTTTACTATTTGAATATTTGGAAGATAAGAAAAGTGATACTTGTGTTGAATTTGTCCCTTAGCGAAAATGTCTAGGGAGCAAGTACTCTTGTCATATTCTCACATTACGATACTAGTATGGTTGGTCTACGATGTAAAAAGAGATCTAGAAGTAGTTATTGTTTTAGTCAAGGTTTGAATTTTTTTTCTTCAATATATGTTAAATATTTTAATTATTTCGGGGAACCACGATAATGCATGCTATATCGTGACAAAAATCAAATTTAATGTATTTAGTTTTTAGATATAGACAAATATAACTATATGTCATTGACATAATTGTTACCATTGAATTTTTATGTTATATTTATTTAAGAACTCCGTAAAAATAATATGTAATTAAGTAAGAACAAATGTTAATCACTTCTCCCAAAATTAGGGTAAAATATTACATGGAAAATTATGAAAAATGACTTACGTTTAAACTGATGAAAGCAACATTTTAATATCGTATGTCATATACGATATTAGTGACAGTGATAATATTTAAGGTAATAACTAATAGATAGTTAGGTATTCGTTATTATTTAAAATTGCACCAGTATATTTTATATGAATTAATCTAAAACGAGTTTACACCATACGCGCAATGTAAATTTTAAAATATAATATTTACATTTTACACATATAAACATAAAATAATATTTTACGATAAGCATTAATTAATTTATAGCTATTAAAATAATACGATAATAGCCGTTGTGTAATATTTGTTTCGTTATTGAATATTAATAGTGACCACGAAAATCACTTAGTGGTTTTAATATTATGGTCAACGCTTCTTTAAAAAAAAAAAAACACGTTACTTTGCATATTATATAATTACAATAATATATAAATCGTTTTTAAAATCAACAAACCAATATTATTACCTATGTTAAATAAAAAATAATATATACACATAGCGTTATTTTTGGATACTAGAATGCGTGTAGTCTTAAATTAGGTATAGTTGTATTGACAGGGTAAGACACCGACGAAATTAAAATTTAAAAGTTATCGAACACATTTTTTTTTTTCAAAAATAATTGTATTCTATTTTTTGTGAAAAAAAAAACAACAATGGTAAAAAATAATTGTGCCGGTATATTATCATCATTGAGTGTAAATTTAAAAAATTAAAAATGTATAACGGTAGGTATACTTATTATTATACTAAGTATATTTTTCTTGTATAGCAAAATACGTTAAAAAAAAAGTTATCACTTAAGTCTAACAAAGTTGACCAATGTTTAAATATTTTATTAATTGATTACAAATTAACCAATGTGCACATATTATTATATTATAGATAAATAGTACTTAAATATATATAAATTATATTAATGGTTAACAATATCATAACTAATGTTATTAGACGTCGAACGACGTTTATATAAAAAAAAAAAAAAACAATATACCTATAATGTTATGTTCGCGGTGATGTTAGGTATCATTGACATTGTAAAACATCACAGACTAATTAAGTATGCTTATAATAATAATAAATCTTAAACGTTATTGTAACACGTGTGTATAATTTTGTGACTACTGACTAGTTAATAAATTTATTATATTATTCAACACCATCGAGACAATACACACACGATCATAATAAAAATTACATTAATTATATAGTTATTATTACTGCTGTATAATATAATATCAGCAGATAAGGGACTTGTATTACACAAATAAATTGAGGTTGGTCAAACTATTTGGCCGACACAGTAATCTTATGTATATGGTAGTGAAATTAATAATAATAATTAAAGACCGGATTTATATGCATTTTAAATTGTAAAATATGCATGCAAATGGTGTACTTCACGTTCGAACACGTATTGCTACCAATGTTTAAATATTTTATTGGTAATTCTGAATTAACCAATATTTTATATTATTATATATAGATAAATGGTACTTAATAGATATAAATTATAGTAATGGTTAACAATATCTGAACTAATGTTATTAGACGTCGAACGACATTTATAAAAACAATATACCTATAATGTTATGTTCGCGGTGATGTTAGGTATCATTGACATTGTAAACATCACAGACTAATTCAAGTATGCTTATAATAATAATAAATCTTAAACGTTATTGTAACACGTGTGTATAATTTTGTGACTACTGACTGTTAATAAATTTATTATATTATTCAACACCATCGAGACAACACACGATCATAATAAAATTACATTAATTATATAGTTTATTACTGTATAATATAATATCAACAGATAAGGGACTTTATTACACAAATAAATTGAGGTTGGTCAAACTATTTGGCCGACACAGTAATCTTATGTATGGTAGTGAAATTAATAATAATAATTATATTTTATACAGAAAACGAAGAATTTTACATCAAAAACCAATGGTAAAATATTAGCAGTGTAGATATAAAATATAATAATATAAAAATATAATAATAATTTAATTAGAACTATAAATGCAATATATGATCGGAGGCAGCGCAATGTAGTAACGAGTGACACTGACATTTTATTTTTCATAATATATTCCTCCGTTGATTTCTTACGAAAAGAAAACGATATTCCACTAAATATTTTATAAAATCAATTTAATATCGACCTTCTATATATTTCATATATTTGAAAATATAACTTTAATTTTGCTACATTATAATTACGACTCAAAGTTGTTACCATGTTTCTGCTCATTGCACTATTACAACTGCAATATGCAATAGCACCATACCATAATAATAATATAATAGGTAACTATAAATAATAATGTGTGTTAAACGGTGCGATCGCTAATGAAAAAAAAATATAATGATAATGACTTTGGAACGAATTAACGATGTATATACACTCAAAAGTCATAATTAGGTATCGATTTATGTAGAGTATAAAACGATAGATTATTATAGTAATATTTTATTATACACGTCATGTTTGGGAACTATCAAAATGTACGTGTATACCTATAATAATGTATTTAAACATATCATATTATATTATATAAAACTCGTACAGGGCACCACTATATTTACATTATTTTTGGGTGAGACATTAAAAATGATTATGGAACATATTATTATAAATAAGGCTCTGGGTATTTATTTCCATCGAACGCCTAATTATAAAAATTTACTAAAAATTTGTAAACTTAAAAATATTAAATCAAATCGAAGTTTATCTAAAATTATTGGTGAGGTTATAACTATAATTTTGAATTTGGTGTTGATGGAGCCTCCACATCACCACTGCTCCATAGCCTATAAGTATTGTACTGTTTCGTCAACCTTATCGGTGATGGTCGATCGCGATTTATGATACACGTGTGTATGTGAACTATATATCAGACGACGTTCTTAGATGGATGTCGGTACAACATTAATCAAAACTTCAAAGTTCAAATACCTATTTATAACTTGTTGTAATCAACTTTACTATTCGCCCGAAATTTTCTTTTCTCAATATTCTGCTTCGTAATATTATGAATATAGTATAACTATAAATTTGTGTTATTGGCATTCAGAAATTTAAAAACTTAAAAATCGTAAACGTTGTTTATTCTTTCTAACGATCTAAACCGATGGAAAATCTAGTTTTGAAATAATATGAATGTTTTATTCTAAATTATTAATCACCAAACTGGTGGTACTGGTATATAAGACTATGTTCGACGACCGTTTTCAACGATACCTATCACTGTAGATCTAACGAATCGTTTATATCAGCTACGTGTTTTTAAATATATATTTTTTACTCGATCGTGCACATAATAATAATAATAATAATAATAATAACAATAATAGATCGTAATTTTGAGGAATCCTATATACGTATATATATAATATATAAATATTATATTCATATAACAATATTTTAAATATTATACCGTCTTAATATTATTATGCGATTAATGTAATGTCAACAGTTTACATTTTTCCGATATTGTGGGC